GCAACGTAGATTTAAATCCCTAGAACCTTCAGGATCCTTTGCTTTTTAAATTGTGCTTGGTTTGCATCTCAAAAATAAGGCAGCGTGTGCAGAAAAGGGACTAAAGATGCTAAAGATGGTTGGCAGGTTGTCCCAGAGCCAGGCAGACTGGCAGGGCTTGCTGTTCCACACAGCAAAGGCAGTTTGCTGTCAGTGTCCACTCATGTTTCCAAGTTTTGGTGCATTCATCCAGCAAGTTACTTCAAAACAAATAAAATAGTCTGGATTCAACACCACCTTCCAAGTGACTTTCACAAAATCAGGACGTATTTGTTAGATCCTGAGTCAAGGCAGTCCCATGTCTGTGTATGTCTGGGAATAACGTGACACAGGTAAGCAGGGCCAGCAGAGACTGCATTTGGATGTGAGGATAATTTCTGAATCAGCTTCAAAAGCTTTGTTTTGCTCAGTGACAAGTGAGATGATTAACACCAGGACTACTTGCTTTCATTTGCACAGAACACATGGTTCTCTGGCTGAAACCATAAATTTTCCTGGCAAACCTCTGACACAAGAAAGGGCTGGCAGTCCAAATGTGTATCGGGATGCAGGCTGACATAGGAATTGGCTCTTGCTGAGCAGGAGAGATTCCTGGGCATGGCTGGTTCTCTTTTGTGGCTCTGAGGAGAGGGTAAGACTTCTGTGCTTGCCTGTCCTGGGTGCCTTGGAGCTGAGCCACCGGCTGGGGTGGGCACACAGCCTACAGGCAGCCACTGTCCCCCAGGTGCTTTGGAAAACCCATTTTCCAGAGGGATACGGTTGTGGTCAAGAACTCTGATGGCTCACATTAATTCCTCACATAGCTTTTCAAAGATGAGACATGAGCACAAGCAAAGTGCCATGTGCTCTGAAATACTGTGGATTAAGCTCCTGAATATATTATTTACTACTTCTGCATAGCAATTACTCAAGGTTTTTCTGGGGGAGAGGAAAGTCTGCTTATGTTTCAGAGAAATTTAAGTCCTATGCTTCTCTAAATACACAAGAGGAAGTTCACCCAAATATTTTGCTCCCTGAAGTATCCCCTCTTCCTGACATTTCTTCTCTTACTGGGTTGTCCAAGGGCATAATTAAACCCAGATCTTATCTTCCAGGGACAAACACGGGGTCAATGTCAGAAAATAAAGTAGTTGGGCAGCTAGAACAGTTGTTATAGCATTATATATTATTGCCTGGATCCTTCAGGTTTTTTTACTGGTCTTTTAAGGTACGCACTGAAATACAGAATAATAATGTATATTAACTGGTATTAATCTCTTCCCACTCTGAAGAGATGGTAGTCTAAAATAAGCAACATACAAAAAGCCAGATGATGAAGGCAGACTATTCTATTAGTTAAATTTGCATTCAGCTCAGCGCTCTCATTTGCAGAATAATTTGCACCTGTACTTTGCACCAGTTTGAGGCAGCATTCTTGGGTCTGCAGTTGAAACTCGGTGAGAAGGTGTAAATAGAGACAAATTAACTATTTGTTCAGGTAGTTCAGATCCTGGCTAATTATGCTTACATCTACAGCAGCAGTTCTGCACAGGAATAAATCATGTCATGTCATTCTGTGAGTGCATTTTTACTTGCAGAAGTCACTTGGCTGTAAAAGTATAGATCAAATCACATTTTTTTTTCTTTTCGTAATAAAATAAAAAATATACATTTCAACATAGGCATAACTTCCAACTAATTGTTCCAGCTTACCTTATCTGTCTACAATTAACATTGAATTGCATTTGCCATTTTTCAGCCTCCAATTACGTTGTACAGATAAGGACTGAAAAACCCAAGAGTTTAAATGTAGCCCTTTTGGGGTAGGACTCTGATTTGATTCAAATTATAATGGCATTTTTATTACTATATTTTAAAAGCAGTTTTCCCTGATTTCTAATCTGTAGCTAGACCTCATTTTTGTGGCTGGCTTAACACAATCATGAGACCCATTGTTATACGGGACTTCCCCTCTCCCCCAGTTTCTAAATGCAACAACTAACAGATATGATTGTAACATTCAAGATAAAACGAGGGCACAGAGATGCAACATATAATCTTGGTACTTAGTGAAACATATACTTTACAAGAACTGCATTTATACCCAGCACTGATTTGCTCTGCCACTGTGCTGAGTTGTTTGATAAATACAGAGTTCCATACAACCAGAATTCCTTGGATATATATTATTGGGGCAGAATCTTTTCCCTCAACAGAGCCTTAGAAAACTAAATATAAATGCCTAAAATGAAACCTACTCATGAATTGCAACTGTAACACAAACCTGCATTAAAGCCAGTGAGAGTTTTGGGCACTCAAGAACGCAGGATACTTTATATAAACCATCCCAGGCAAGAATCACATTACTAATTAGCAACTGGCCAAAATAAACAGGGATCAAGGACATTGTGAAGCTAAAATAAGAAGAAAATCTTACTCAAAATGCAAGCCAGACTTTTCTAGAGTTTTGAAAGTCCAATTGCCCATTCTGATCTCTTCTTTCTTGCAGGACTAGTAACTGTGAGGTATTTTCCAAGCTTCTAGGTAAATGAGTCTTTTTTGCTCTTTCTTTTTAGAGAGATGGAATCAGCTGCATGAAGCTTTGCAGTGCCTTGGCATGCTGGACTGTCCCAAAACTCTCACTCTCCCCTAAGCTGTCCTCCTCTGCCAGTTCTACTGTCAGATAAAAGAGGCAGCTTACGCAACCTGCCAGAAGGACTTCTCTTCAACAGTAGGATTAACCTTCATTTTACAAGGTCCCCAACAGCTATCTTTTGGGTTGCTTTTTTTTCAATATTCACCTCTGCTTTGTATTCTGAGGAGCAGATGACCTTCCCTTATCAATAAGGGACTTGGTCCTGCATCCTCCCCTACCTCTGTGGGCACAGCAGGCTCCTCCTGGCCTGCGAGGCTCAGAGCCCTGTTCTCCCACCAATGCCTGCTCCCAGATGTAGATAACCAGAAAGCTTCTGCTTTAATGCAAAGTTAAACCTCTCCTTTCCAGCCTTTCACTCTGGGAAACAGAGAGAGGTAGGAACTGCAAATTCTTAAGTCACTGCCATGTTTAACCTAAGCCTTCTCCAACACTTTACTTCCATCCCTTCTCCACACTTTGCACACTGCTCCTCTCCACAGGAGCCCATCCTTCTCTTGACTTCATTTACCCTTGGGAATTTTTCAGAAGACAGAATGGGTGCCAAAACATTGTAACCTACATCCCCCTTTCACTCAGAAGCAAAGAAACAGTGATGCTCTGAAGTTATGGCTAAACATATAAAGACACAAAGCCCTCCTATGCTGCTGTCACTGGAGGTGCAGCCCTGGCAGCACAGTGTGGATGATCCACCATGCCAAGAAGCCTCTTTTATACCTTCTAAAGGCCATTATGAAACTGCCTAAGGTGCAGGAAAGCAGCAAAAGACACAGAGTACCTTTCACATGCAAATGTAAGAATAGGAAAAGCTACCACTGGAGGCAAAGAATCAGACAGAAATATAAATGCCAAATCCTGGCAAATGCAGCCAAAAGCAGTGTGTGTCTGGCTCCACGCACCCAAACTGAAGCTTTCTTGGCCCAAGAGATAACCAGGCCTGGGGAGGGAATGTGGAACTGTTTTAATGACAGAAAAAAAAATCCTTTTTTGCAACCCTGTTATCTTGTCAAGAAAATTGTTGTGGTATGGAAGGTGGATCATATGAAAGATGGGCAACAGCCCACAGACAGTCTATGGTCTTCCAAGTTTTGACCAGAACATACTGGTCTTTGCCAACCTGAGAAGAAAACACGCCAGTGAAAACAGATCTTCCTCCCAAGATGAGACCAATTACATTCATTTTGTTCCAGGCCAACAGCTTCTGGTTTCCCCCAATTCTGATTCAGGGTTTAGATTTAGCTCTCTCGGATGCTTTCCTCAAAGTCTGCTCCTCCAAGTTTGTGGCCAAAACAGCACTGTGGCAGGTAATTCCAGGTCTGACCCCGAGTGGGTTCTGGCATGCAATCAATGCAGCAGCTTGGGGTGATGCTTTTGTCTTGGTGGGTAAACCCTGTAAGGCTGTGAACCTTGTTTTCATCTCCTTGTGCCATCAGCACCACAGTCAGATTCTGTGTCTCAGCCTCAGTTTAAACACCACTTGTTTATACATATCCTGTGGTTTCTCTGGGCAAGACTAGGCACATATAATCCTTCCCCAAAACAGGAGCTATACTAAATATTATAATGTTTAGAATATATATATATGAGAGAAGCATTCCTTAGGATTACTGTGGTAATAGCATATAGCCCAATCAGAGACACACGGAGGACTAGATTCTTTTAAATTCATAGGATTATTTTTTTAATGTACTTTTCAGGTTATTTCAGTCACCCAAAGAAGCTGGCTAAAGAACTGACTCGAAAAAAATGTGGATCTGGACATCTACAACATACATTACACTTTTTTTCTAGTAAAGAATATGCAACAGCTGATGTAAATCAACAAAGCTTTCTTGATTTCAGTGCAGTGGTGCCAATTCATAATCTACAAGGATTTAGTTGTACTGCTCCAGCTAAAAAGCAGAATTTAATTCAAGCTGTCCAAATATACTTTTGACTCCTATATAAAATACAGAAGAAGAACAAATAAAGAAGAGACAGACACGTTTAGATGAGACTACTCAATGAGATGCCTTTCCCTTCTTTCCCAGAAGTGCACATTCGTACAGCACTGACAACCCTCCGCCCTTCTTAGTATTTTCTCTCTCTCAAAGGACTAACATGGAACAACCTCACCCCACTTGCACAGCATTCCTGTCTCTCTTCAGCTCACTCCCCTGCCTCAGATAATTTCCTCCTGGTGTCTCAGGACACACAGGAATACAGCTTGGAAAAGGGGTCTGTCACCTGCGACCTTTAGAAGGATCTCAGTCAGAAAGAGGGGAAAAAAATACCACCAGAACAAAAACCCTGCAGGTAATTCGGGGCAAGGAGCAAAACAGGTACTCACCAGTCCCTGTGTCCTTGTTTAACACAGAACTGTGTGCAGGTGTCCATAAAGCCCGGTTCCAAGTTGCTGGGAGGTCTCATCCTTCCATGCATGGCTGTCCTGGGATCCTGTGACAGAAACTTCTTACTGTTAAGTACTTTGCATTGTGCCCAACATTCCTAACGGCTGGCTTTCCTTATTTACAGGATTGTGAGGAGAGCTGGGCTGCTGGGGCTGGGAGAAGACAGGCTCCTTCCCTGCCATACCCAAAACACACAGTATACAGACACCTGACATGGTTATACACAAACTTCAGTTGGAATAATGTGCTACTTCTGTCACTTCATAAAGACACATAGCAGTCCTGAAAACAAAGAGGTGGTTAAGAAAAAGTCTGTCTTCATTTGTAATGACACAAGAGTTTGAGAGCCCCAATTCTGTGTTGAATACCTGGTAATGTTGTCTGCGTGCTACCAGATGAAGAAATCTGTTTCTCTTTCTGGCACAGCCCAGCAACATCTTTATGAGAGGACAGATCTGAAGTGAAATATTGAGATTAGGGGAAGATAAGAAAAGAAAATTCTTCATAACAATGAAGAATTATACTTACACAAGTACATCATCATAAAAATATTATCTTTAGAGTCCACTTCATTAAATTTTTTTCATTCCCCAGTGGATGATCACATCTGGTAAGACAGAGAAAGAGAAAACTCAGAGCTGGTCACAGTAAGAGGGAAATTTGCAGTGATCACCCAGTAAATGCATTCTATATCTGACAAGTTATGCCAGTGGCCAGACTGGCACCTATGCATGGATAAACCACTATGTCTGCATGATTTAAATGTATTTCAAGGCAGATAGGTTTTAACATATTATTTCACAAAGTATTTCCTTCTCTGATAAAATATTAATAGAACACTTCATTGAAAATAAATAATACAGATATAGGTAACAGCAGTCAAAAAATTCGATGGAGTTTGTAGAAATAAAAAGTAACAATGCTGGAGAACCATAAAAAAAATGAAAAATCCTTTAAAACTTGATAGTATCATATCATGTATCTAAGAGATATTTACTGATATTTTCTTTCTTTAGAGAAGCATGCAAGAAAATGAACTTGCAAAGCAACATTTATTTTTTCTTGCCTCACTTTAATTAGATTACCCTACTTGGGTTTAAAAGACTTACCTACACTATAATAATCTGTATCTGCCAGCTACAGATTTTTGCTTTAGAATATGAATAGCACATTGAGAAGTTATTAGCATACAAACTGAATTCCTTTTAGAAAGAACTGACTATTCAGGTGCTGTGTTTTCATATTTATATATAGATACCCATACACACTGTTTTAATCTCTCTGCTCTCTTGTAGGTAACAAAAACTTTTTGTTGTTTCTTTTCCTTTATCTTGTCGGGGCAGAAATAAAAAAGAGAGTAATAAAAAAGATTGTTGGATACTTGCACACTTTAAGGCCAGGCTATTAGATTAGCAATAATTAATATTTGATTAGCACTGCCATTAATGGGAATCCCATCACTGATGCCCATGAACTATGAATCAGGTGAAGAAGCCTGTGAAAATTTGTTAGAAAGTCAGAATTAATAAAAAGTTGAGTAAGGCTGCATAAAAAGAAGGCAAAGCCAGATCTGCACTCCTGATACTTACACTGGACACAAACAATGGGAAATATGAGACACACAACAGCTCCATTTTTAATTTTCTGACTGAACCCTGTATTAAGGCAATATATTATTATTTAGCATCAGTGGAGTTTCCCTGATCTGAAACAACTGAAAGTGAGATCAAAGTCAAATCCAGAATTTGCTGGAGACAATGGAGAAGGACTTGAGGGAAAAAATCCACAACCTTAAGACTTGTTTTTCCCTTGAAAACATCACCAGATGAGATGGTCTTATCAACCCTACAACACAGACTGATGTGTTAATTAGCAGTTATGAGAATAAGAAGTATTAACTTACTGTCCCTGCACTTCCACTTGAAACCAGATGAATTTTATCTTTAATTTCTCCTAGAAACTGAGGGTTTGCTTTCCTTTAGTGCTCTTGAAACAAGCACAAGGCAAATTTTCAAAGAAAGCAACTCAACAAATACAAAAATATACTTCATTCAAATTACTTGCAGGATTTCACTGTCGAGTCATTTGAAACTGAATCTTGAGTTGTAATTGAAGGGAAAAAAAACCAAACCACAAGGTCTGGTGTCAAAGATCTTGAAAAATAACTTGGCCTTGCCAAACTGTCCCTCAAGATCTGCAAACACACAGTTGTCCCTGACCTCAAGTCAACATAGCACATAAACCTGCCACTTTTCTCAGCTCTTGAGTCATCAAAATAGGACTTCCTCCAAAGACAAAAGGAGGTATTTCTTAAAATCAAGTTATTTTAATGATGTTTATGAACTACCAGCAAACTACACTTACCTTACCCCCCTGAATCACGCCAACCCTTTGTTTGAAGTAAAGCAACACGACCCAGTTTCTGTTCTCATTCAGAAGGCAAGATTTACAAAATATTGTGCTGATGGCTCATGGGGTGCTTCTCACCAAATACAACACGTATTTTTAGCTCCCTTCAAACCACTGTAAACAAAAGACAAAACAACAGCTGACTACCAAAGCACAGAGAGACACTTCCATTTCTAGAAGAAACTTTTATCTCCTGACTGATGTAGAAGATGTGGAGTTTGGGGCAGATCATTTTAATACAGAGATTGTTTTCCGTGATATTTTCAGTCAATTACCCCAGCTTCCCACCACAGATATATAAATCAGACACACACTTTCTTAATTATTGGAGGGAGTGGCATTATAAATCTCTGCTTTTCCCAAGATCTACAACCTCATAAAATGAGAATAATGTGCATCATCTCTCTTGCATAGCTTCTGGCATGTCATTTGCACCCTCCTTCCAGCATAACTGAATGCTCTGTGGGATATTTGTAGTAATAGTCATCAGTCTCTCTAATGAAAGAAGCCTGGAAAAAATATGGCACTTAAACTATCAGATGCTATTTCAGAAAAATAAATGCTAACATTTTCCAAATGCATCTGATATTCTTACTAGCATTAAACTTGGGTATGTTGGTGAAAACATTTGTATATTGGGCCATCAGGACTGAAGCTAAAACCAGCCGGAGAAAACAGAAGTAATTTAATTTTATGACATTTCTCTCTCACCAACAGACCCAAATAAGGGATAGGGTGGAGAAGGACTGCTCTCAGGTGAGTTATCTGTGCCCCTTTCTGTTGCTTAATAAACCTACACTGTAACTCTATAGGCACTTAAACTCCTAATGCTAGGTGGTGTTTAATTACACAAGTCATATTTAACAGGGATAAGAGTCTGTTCCTCACGGAGAAAATTTAGAAGTCTGGAAATTAACTTCCTATTTCAGTTCCTGGCTGACAACCATTTTATTGCTTATTGCTTTATCATCATGAATCCAGATGCATTATGTTTAAATTTCTATCTGAGAGCTACTATCAGCTCAGTTTAACTTTCTATTTGAGTACAAGCTACTACTCTGATAGTTGTTCCTATCACAGAGCCTGTAGAAAAAATGCTGTTTACCAAATGCAGTAAAGATAAATCTTGGGTGTTGAGACAAACCCAGTGTAATACACGTTCGACTGCGATTGACTGGAGATGCTGCCACTCAGAATTCCCCTTGATTCTGCAGAGTAATTCAATCTTAAACCAAAGCACAAAGAAACAAAATCTCCCAGTTTGCAGAGTTCCTGGCTTCTGTAGGGTCAGTGATAATGAACATGCTCCCTGGCAGAGTAAGGCACCACAGGACATACGGCTCTGAAACTTCCAAAGCCCAGGTCCAAGCCATGCCTTAGAAATACATTGCCAGTAAAACTGTTTCCTTGAATAACTCAGCTTTGATTTCCACCAAAATTCTTATTATTCTAGAAGCCTCCCTTCTTACCTCCTACTTTTAGGGTAGCTACTCATCATATTCATTACCCAGTATATTTGATCACCATGCTCAGCAGAGATGCAGTAGGAATTAAGGTAACAGGAAACCCATTTTTCCAAGCTTCTCCATGACAGACATGGTATTTCATAAAATAATTCCACTGCCCGACCTGGAATTTTATGCTCCCTCTGAGCATGACATATTTTGCACCTATGAAGTCAATCAAATGCCAATGTTATTTTTTCTTTTATTACCCAGGGCCAGCAGAGCAGTTTCAGTAAAAATAATTTATACCAACTGTTTCCAGTTAATGGAAATTCAAAGTCTTCAGACAGTATTTTTTATTTCTGGTGCTTGAATTCTCAGAGAAATAGCGAAGCATAATTGATCCCACATGCTTTTTATTGTTTTCCACATGAAAGAATCACGATTTTCAGTGGATCATCGAATTATGCTGCGGCCCCGTGCCAAGTCATCAAACAGCGAGGTCACGTGTGATGAAGGTGCAGTGTTCAAAGCAGGAATAGCATGTATCATATCTTGGAACTGAAGGCTTATTTCACTTTGTCTGAGTGAACCCAGCCAAGAAATTTTCTGGGGTTTTCCACGTTCTCCTTGTAAATTATGGGAACAAGTCCAAGAAAATGCGCAAATATTCATCACTAAACAACAGGATTACAGAACACACTCATTTCTAAGAGTACATCACACTGGAGCCAAGCCATTGCTTCAGCCACTTCAGAGATGCTAAGAACCACCAATATGAGGTTAACTGCACCTTCCATATTTCAGGAATATCACTGACACAGAAAAAGCGTTGCTGGGCATCACGTTTGCTGATTGTTTGGAGTATTAATTTATCTGCTTTACATGTCTGCTTCACAAAATCACAGCTAAAAGAGTATTTTTAGAAAATCCTGCCAATTTTTCAGCTTTGGGGAAAAAAAAACACTTTTCACTTTGTGTGCAAGTCTACAGCAGGTTGAGGAACTGAACCTTTTTATCATTCTTTGACTAATTTTGTGAATCTACTTCACACTTCTGCTGTATCATTTGAAGCCGAAAACTTGCTGGCAGGAGAACATCACCTTCATGACACGTGTCTTCCACAATGGAGCAATTAGGCACACATCCAAGAACTACAATTCCAGCACCAAGTGACAGTCAAACCCTAAGCTTTAAGACTACTTAAGTCACTGCAGTGCTTCCAGCTTGGACAGGGCTTTAGTAAAGGGGAGACACTTTCCATGCTCTGAAAGTTTGCTCTTCACATCATACGAGGAAGAACATAACACAGGGAGTGACCAGGCAAACGGGGATGTATCTGGAGTTATAGAATCTGAACTGCTCCACAGGGGTGTTGCACATGCCTTTCTCATCAGCACAACAACTTTTCTTTTTCATCTCACATACAAAACCATTTCTAAAATAATGGATACATCACCAAAAGAATTCATCAGAGGTTGAAGAAATAAAACTTCCATTTAACAGTTCATGAGGCCAATATTACCAGCTGAAGTTCAGTTGGCACCTTTTATCCAGTGGTAGGATTTCTGAGGAGAAACAGGAACCAAGGCAGATTTTATCTCTCAGCACTTCTCAGGCAGGAAATTTAATTTTTCACCTTCTGGAAGGGTTTCAACTGTAAAGACTTTTGAAGGAACACAATGGCAGTATGACCTAACTTGATGGCTTTAAAGAGAGGAAATACTAAATTTACGGCAGGGACTATGTTATAATCCAATACCTTGGCCTTTGTTAGAGACAGAACAAAGAGGGCTCTAGGGGATGATCTCAGAATCTTTGTCACCATGGCTCCTCCAGGTCATGTGGATTTATGAAAACAGCAACCTTCCCTCAAAACAAGTGCAGGCAACCAAGACTGAGGAAGAGCCTTGTTAGTCCTCTCTCCACACAAGAATATAAAAATGGCAATCTTGCCATTTTAAAGTTCTCCCTGCTTTTTGCCTCTCTGGATACTCTCTTGTTCATAAATCAATCAGCTCCATTAAAGGATTCCTTTATACCAGATCAAGACCAGAACTCTGAATGGCAGGTTTCTCCAGGGCTTAAGCCCTTCATCTGCTGCTTAGACCAGAAACAGAAAGCACAAATAACGAGATGAGAAAACAGTCACAACAGAAATTCTAGCTGATGTTCATCCTAGAAGACTTCTGAATTTGATAGACTGACCTTGAAAATCAGATTTCCCATTCCATAGACCAGTATCTGTTGCAAGAGGACATGGCAAAATTGTAGTAGTATGCATATATGAGAGGCAATGCAAATGTTTACCTATCAAATACTCCAAATATGTGCAAACACCTATCAAGTGTAAATACCTACCTACAAAGTTTTCACACTCAAGAGGACATTTTATATTTGTCTCTTTTTTTTTTGAATTGGTTTTGAATGCAGGATTACCCTTGCAGCTATTTAATTTTTCTTTTTTCTCCTCTGCTTTTTTTTTTTTTTTAAATTACACATTCCTGGGTGTCTGCCTAAGGGAATTTGGATGTTCTCAAAGAAAGGGAATGCTTAGGTCTGTCTCGGCAAGAGGAAATAAGATGAGGTTTTGCTGGAAATTGCTACAGAGAAAATAAAAGGATTGGGAAGGAATCTGAAGTATTAAACCCCACATAAGTCCAGCTCCCTGTTGTGAATTCAGCAGCAGTTTACAGCCAGTTTTGATCTGTGTGTCTTGCCCTCATTTTCTGAAATAATTTGTATTTATGTTAAACACACACCAACTTCACCCTCTAAAAATGCTAAACCCTCTCACAAACGAGCTCCTGTGTGAATACTGTTGGGTAAACAATACTCAAAGAAGTCAAGACACTATAACAAATAATTAGAGCTGATGACTGCAGCTATGAAATGCTTTTGCCAGGGGCAAAGAAATTAATAATCCTGCTGTTGTATCGTAGCATCTCTTATGCAAAATGCTTGTCTTGACTATTTATTTAGATGTGTGCAATGAGACATGAAGCTATGGTTTCTGTAAAATCCCCCAGGGGAAGCTTAGAGAGCCAAAACATCAGGGTTTGGGGCTTTTTTTTGATGTTGTGTTCTGTAATACCCTTTGTATGTGTTTCCCAGCTCTACATATATAAGATTAGAAGCAAAACAGAGCACTTCTCCAGCAGAAATTTTGCCATGTGGCTTGAGAGATGGTAAAGCATTCCTTGGTATACTGTCACTTCACATATCCTGCCTCCTTGAAAATTTTATTTGGAGGGTGACAGTAGCAGTAATGTGTGCTGATGATGAGTGCACTCCATTCCTTCAGGCATATTCTGGGGGTTTACTATGCTAAACCACACTTTAAAAGCCATAGGTATACCCTTTGTTTCTATATATTGGCATATATTCCTTCTCACAAATATCCCACAGATTATATTCCCTCTTGTAACATAGAGCCCATCTGGAAATGCTTCCAACTGCACACAGTTCCTATTTCTTTGTGGAATATATTCACCAAAATGGCCAAGCCAAATGGGAGGAAGCACAGACTTTTAAAAATAAACAAAAGAAAGTCAAGACAGTTCTCAGCTTTGCGCTGCTCGTCCAGCCCCAGCTACAGAGTTGAATTAACAACATTTCTACCAGACATCCAAGGACCCTCTGACTTCTCATTTGCTCCTGTTTACAGTGGAATATTTAACACACTAGCAATTCTGTGAAAAGGGCAATGCAATTTCACCTCCTTACTGCCGCACATCCATCGCGGTCGGCCATTTCCTCTGCGTCGTTCCACAGCCTGGAACAGCTCTGGATTCCAGGGCCAACAGCGTGAACCCAGTTATCCCATCTCTCCTTCTACTTCCCACTCTCCTGGGAGCATATTCTGAGCCATCTGCTGTCAGCACCAGTAGGTCTGCAGTCCCTGTAAGTGTGGAAATTAGTTCAGGGTCAAGGAACACGAAAAATCTCTTTTCCCACATGTTGGTCACTCCGGGGCCTTGCAAGTCACCACTGTCACAATCCCGTTCCAAACACGCTCCACGCTCACAGCTCCTCACAAGAACCATCAGTTGCATGGTTCCAAGATGCGAGTTTTTTGGCTTTAACTTCTTTTAGGAGTTCTCACTGTGGATCAGGATAGATGATGAGTGAATGCTCTGCCCATTTTTAAAAGGTGCTGAACTCTGCTTGAGAACTTAATTCTCTTCAGTGCAAAGAGACAGCCCTTGTGAGCACGAAGGAATGATTCCCAGGGACTGTCACCACTGCTAACAGATGGAGCAGAGCTGTCACCAAAGCAAGCAAGATTTAAATCTCAGCTGGGAGTCCAGGAACTCCCCAGACTCCCTCATCCCAGAGACAGATGACAAACTGGACCCCTATTTCCAACACAGCCACGCTACGGGGAAGATAATCCTGACAGCTTTTGCATTAAATGGCTTCAGACAGATACAACTGGCTTAGCAAACCTAACCAAGGACCTATAGCTGGGACTAGAGATGGTCAGAGGTGGATTTCAGATTTCTTTCATTTTTTTTCCTGACAAAGGTAGTATTTTTCTGTCACAGAGCCTAATGAAAAAAAGGTCCCTAGGAAGCAGAACATGCCTGGTTCACTTTGGTAAGGAGAGGACCACTTTGAGACTTGGGAATTATGTCCTCTGACAAGGGCCTCGCATCCTTCTCCAGAAACTCTGCTTAGCTTAGGGAAATGTAGATTATTATTATTGCAGAGGAAAAATAAATCAAAATGCCACAGTTCTCTCTGGAACGAGACAGGATTAGAATATTATACTGGAATACCAACAGGGAAGATCAAATTCCTTTTTGGCATCCGGAACCAAACTCTGCAGCATGAGCATATTTTTGGCTCTCTTTTGGCTTATTTAGACAGTAGCACTGACTCTGCAATTACACCTTTTAATATTGCAGAGTAGTAATTATCTCTCCCTCTTTTATTCACATTTGTCACAGCAACTCCCAATCGTGCACAGAAACTTTATACAAGATAAATGTGACTGAGCAAATCTGAAACTCAGCATCACTTCTTCTTGCCTTTCAAGGCAGCAGATGAAGACAAAAAGTGTTCCTGGAAGATTAACTTGATTAATAAAAACATCTGCAGGCTCAGTGCTGGAAAAAATAAAAGTCCTCTTCTGATCCTTTGGCTAGGAAATCTATCAGTGTAGATTGATAAATGTGCTATTTTTTCTAACAATGAATAAAACAGCTGAGATATACTTTGTTATGTATGTAGGGAGCCTAGTAAAAAACACAGGTAATCTGGAATATTGTGTTAATGTGCAACTATCACTGACAAATACTGATGACACTGGAAAGCTGGAAGAGAAATGCTTCAATACTCTCTGATTGTCCAAGACAATCAGAAAACTCATCTGATTACACTAATCCCAAAAATAGGAACCATACCAGGGATTTCCAGCTAATAGATTTCCTAACTAAAATTGGAAAGGTAGCAAAAACTCATGGCTGTCAAACTGCACTACAAGGTTTCCACAAATGTACAGAAAGGTCACATGGGTTTCATGAATTGGGTGTTAAAAGCATGTTCAAGGAATAACGTGGTTAATGCCCAAGGTCTGATCACTTGAATAGCCTTTAGCTCTCAGAGCTTTTCAGAAAGCATTTGATAGCACTGAACATCTTGAGCAGTTCTCAAACAAAGGCTCCTTGGGACCAACAACATCCAAAAGGCTTGAAATACTGCATGAAGTGCCCTGGTAGAACAGATGGATATAAATCCTGTTCCTTCCAGGAAAAGCCATGATTGCCTCAAGGCTGTCTGCTTCCTCTCCTTTTAACTTTTCCGTGGAGACAGGCACTACTTATGCATCCTATGTGCATCTCATGTTTTATGCTATGGATAAAACACTGCTGGTGTGATGTCCAGGTAACCAGGACAGCTACAATCAATGGCACAGCTAACATCAGGTGACTGAGAGGAAACATAAAAGCACTTCCAGGTCTCTTCTGTTCTTTACCCGGTTTAGCTCACTTTGGTGGACTTCCCCCACCAACACACCTTATCCCTATACACCCAGGAGAATCTCCCCACTGTCTGTAATGGGAACAGACTCCGGCCAACAGAGCACTTTTGACAATCCCCTCCTCAGCGACAGGAGGGAAGCACAAGCCACCATAATCACACTGAGAAAGATCAGAAACATGTAAGCAGTCTGTTACCCAGACCTTTCCAAAATCAATACCCCCCAACCAGCAAAAATGATAGAGACCAACCTCTGCCCCCACGAGGAGATGATCACAGGACTGGGGGCAGCATCTCTGAATGAATCCTTATGCACCCTCCACAAGGCAACAAAGAGAACAAAAACAAGGGGTCGCAACAGCACTTTGTTCCATATTCTTCCAAGAATATATTCTCTTTTGTTTTAAAACATTCAAGTCTTCTTTACCTTCTCATGACTTGCTCTCAGATCACTAAGCAAGACACAGCTATTCCACTTCCAGATGAACTTGTACTATAAAAATTCGGGCTTATGACAGGAAGACAAAACGTTCCTGCTATTACTTGCTATGCTGCTAATTGTTCCTATTTTGTTTATTTTTCTGGCAAAAAAAGTAGGATCCGCAAAGAGTGGAAACCATCCTCCAAACAGCACATTATTCCATTGAAATGCAAGGCTTTCTAAGGGGTGATAATGTACAGCAGAGCACAGGAGTCACCAGTGTGAGCTGTTGCTGCTCTGGAACTGCTTGGAAAATGTTCCTTTTTCTTGGAAAGTAAACGGAGACCATGGACTGAAGTGTAGAGTCCTGAGATATCCAGATAGTGATCCCAAGGCAAGAAATCCTGCCTGCAAGGCTCTCTTTCACAGCCATCTACTCCTGCAGTTGTCATTCCCATTTGCACCCAGTTCCTACCTCACCTTGCAGAGTGGAAGAGCATCCGAGTGCTGCACAGTGGTAGCAGGTGGTGATAATCCCACAGATTTCCTTGAAGATATTATGGGAAATGAAGTTTTCACTGCCTGGCCCACACTCCTAATTGTAAGAATGTGAGCAAGAGTATGGAGGACAGCTGGGAGGGGAGGATCTGCTTCTGATTAGAGGGGTGGAATATTGTACTCTTTGCGTGAAGGCTCCAGGACCAGAAATCATCCTATGCCAATGCTGCCTCTGAATTTTAATCTTACTGACTCCATAGCCACCCAATTCCAGCTGATGTATTTAGGGATAACTGATGATCTGCTCTCCAAACATGTTCTGCACACAGTAATGCTCAGCCATTTTGGAGGCACAGTGCTCTTCCTGCACTTGGAAAAAAGGAAGTGATTCCAGCAAACATAAAGAATCTATCTCTTTGTTCATTCTGAGCACAGAGAATAACACTAATGTCTCAAACATATCAAGGGACTTATTTCCTGAGAAGTGCTTCCCGAGTTACTTCAGAATGCTTTCTAAGAGCTCACCACAGCTGATAGTCAAAATAAATCAAATTGCAAACAATGTGTAAAAAGGTCCTCAGTTAAACTGCCAGTCACATCTGAGAAAACAGGTATTACACATCTATATGCCATAAATTCCCACAAGCATTCCATTGCTGCTTTGCAGTGGAAGCTCCACTAAACTCAGACAGAGCCATAAATACAGCAGTGAGGTACAATTAAACAGCTCCCGGTGTAAGCCATGGGTTTTACACTCCTTTTGCAGTGTTATAAAACAGTTCCATCCAGCACAGGCGAGCGATAAATCATTGCATTCAAACAACAGGACCCATCTTACAGTCAAGGGAATCTCATTTCATTCCTGGGAGAGGACAACGTTTTGTCCCCCCTCCAAGGAAATCAGAGGAATTTATGCTGCAGAAAGGACTCCAAAGCAAATACCCAAAGCAATGATGCACTGAACTACCTTCCAACCTGGAAACCACATTAGTTGGGGCTGCACAGCCCTTTCCCAGTTTAAGAAGACCTGAACAGTGGGTTTGCCAACTCAGGCCAAGAGCCAGGCTCTGCTGCTTCAAGTGTCAGTGCTGGTTTATCTACAGGCTACTGAGTTCCACCTTATGGCTGTTCTAAATCACAGGAAACTTAAAAGGTCTTGGCTCTCCTTTTGTGGTTACTTTTGTCCTAACTACATGTGCAGATTTATAAAGAAACCTAAGCAGCAAATGCAGAGGGCTGAATGCCATCAAGGAGGATGCATTCTGCTTAGCTCAACAGATGATAAATTCAGAGGGTGCTAATTTCTAGTGGTGTCAACTAATGCAGAACGACATTGTGTGTTTTACTATAACTGCAACAAGCATTAGGATTCCCACATACAACCTCTGAGCCCACTCAGGAGGAAAAAACATAAAAACTTTGAATGGTACTCAATACATGGGATTTCAATAAATGCATACCACCAGTAATAAATGTGACAATAAGGGAAGTAAACAAGCAAGCAAAATACCACCAGTTACTTGCAACAGTGCCATCAATGCTAAATCTCCTCAAGCCTGGACCCATTTGAAGAGGTTCAAGTTGAATGTGCTGTATTCCAACAGTCTGATGTTTGATGCTACAGCCAGAAAAACAGAGACATTTCCAGTCCCATGTTGCTGTCTGGGCGGAAGGCAGGGAGACCTTTGATGTGGATACAGAACACACACCCCTCAACTTCATGTCAGTGTTCCAGTCTACTTTGCTTCTGGCTTTACATACAACATATGTTCAGTTATTAGAGGTTTTCTGCATATTACATCACTGTTACAAGTGACCTCATGAACTCCCACCACTAATTCAAAAGGATTAGCGACACTTGCTCGACATCGCTTTGAACTTACTTCTACTGAAGGATGGGCTGGTGAACAGAAGCACATCCTCCTGCAAAAATAAGAGAAAATAGGCTTTGGTATCTGTTAGAAACATGTGTACCAGCAGGCAACCTCCTGTTACAACAGGGAATTACTTTTGATAAGGCACACAGCTTTGATCAAACCCTCATACTCTGTTCAAATACATTCACCCCCATTGTCTTATGCAGTTCCAGTGGCTAAGCAACTTCAGCTTCAATTACTGCAGCCTGGCTTGTGATAGATCACAGAATCAAATAGCCACAGTAAATCATACAGAGTTCTAGATCATAGCTGTTTCCCAAGTATTCCCAAGAACTTGAGGACAAAAGGCATTCAGGGGTTTACAGTTCTCAAACAGGATTTTGCACTGAAAATACCTTTTTCTTTCTTTGAAATAACAACAGCAACAACAAAAAAAGCTGGTTTTATACTTTAAAGAAAAATCCACCTTTAATCAATTACAGAATAAACAAACCATGCAGCCATTTTTTTGTTTAAATTTCTGATGTGTTACTTTCCAGTGTAGCAATCATTTAAGGCTTTGTTTTGTTGTTCAGATTTGGAAACAGAGAAATACGAGGAGAATTAACTGAGGAGTAGACAACAAATAAATAAAAGAGTGCAGCACAAAAGCACTGTCTGTTTTTTCACTGAAAATTGTCCCATCTGACTGTTAAGACACTCTCTTTGCTGTAATGTCAGAAGCAAAGGCTCACGAGGAAACTAAGGGGTCCTTCCTTTGCCACTTTGGGATTCAGAGCCTTGGGTTATAAAACCAGCTTTTCCAAGGATAAAGACAACCACAAAAAACATACTTTAAAGACAGATGCACCTGCCTCCCCTTCCTCTCTCCTCAGACTGGTGCATCCCCAGCTGTTACAAACTCTTTTATCCCAGGCCATTGCTCTGCAAAATAAGACAACCAGAGGGCAAAATTCAGTCATACAATGTGTATGTTATAAAGGTAAAAATAAAACCACTGCAAAATGTACATTCACAAAGCACATGTTCTGTTTTATACAATTGTTCTTCACATCCAGCTCTTGTTTCTCTCTCCTTCAACTGCAGGGAAGACCACTTGTCTTATGATGAGTGTACAGCCCTTAGCACAGCTGTCAAGCAACTCCAGAGTTGACTAAAATCTAGAAGACAAATAAGATAATGGAACCCACACACAGTTAATCTCAGCAAATCTCAGGATCAAGTATCTGCCCTGAAACAATCAGCCCTTTAAAGGCAGCATGCAGCTTTCACCTTTTTGCCGAGTTTCATAACATTTTTTCATACACAGAAAGATGGGTGGTGGTGGTGTGAAAATTAACTAAGTGTCATGTCACTCTAAGAATTTGACACAAAACAATGCAATACACTGTTATCCTATAAATCTAACCCAGGTTGGAATTTGGCCAGTGCTGCACCACTGGAAATACAGTTTGCATATTGTCACATATTTTAAATACATGGGCAACAATATATATCAAAAGCAGATTTTTCTCACTTGGGGAAAAAGGAAAAAATAATTACAAAAACATAGCCAAATTTTAAGTTAAACCAAATCCAAATCCAAATAATAATCCCCAGGCAACCATTAATTATGTGGTGTCCTCACTCAGTTGAAAAGCCACTGCTGCATCTGTGGCTTAAGGGGCAGGGATGGGAGAGATGGGAGAGCTCTGTTGATCAAATAAACCACAGTACTTAATGCAAATGGAATATTATATAGTTTAAGAAAGCAGATAATACAGGCTGAGTGTGTTGGGTTAGCCCCATAGCTCACAGCAGTTATATCCACTGCCTTCCACTAAATACAGTTCACAATTCTATCCATTAATAATTCACATGTAGGACAATATCAATCTGAAGGGCAATGCCAAGCAATCTCTTTTTGGCCAACAGCATCTGTGCCCCTTCTGCTGGGTCACAGAATCAGATCTTCTGCTAAGAAAAAGTCAACATAACTCTCCTGAACGCTGTGCATATGTTAGTTTACACACCACTCATAACAAGAGCTGACAGTTCCATTCTGCAGTTCACATCTCTGAGTTTTCAGTCTTTAAATTCAATTTTTACCTGGATGCAATTTCTTTCAGAAACTTTATAACAAGATACACTTCCACGGGCTGTAACTCATCCTAAAAAAATCTCTGTTTAAAAGTATCAACTTTTAAAGCTGTTAATAAACGTTCCAGACTTGAATGCCAAAACCTTGGTTCAGATCACATTTGATCCTCATGGGAATTTAACAGTTGAAAATGGCAGCCCTTATAAGAAATAGCTGCAGAGGTTTTTGACTGGCTGCCTCTTCCTGAAATCTTGCTAAGTTTTGCAACTTTTGCCTTTCTACAGTGAGACAGAACTGAAGAATTGCAGGGAAATGAGTTTGTCTTGAATGTACTGGCATTGAAACTACATTTAGATAAAAAATATCAAGTAGGTTCTGTAAATGATTATGTTCCCATGAGTTCAGTGGAACATGTGACTTACTGCTTTTATCTTTCAAGAGACTAATTGGGAAGCAAATTTCCAAGTTCCATGCCTGACTGCACAAGGAAGATGAATTTTGAATAACCTACAAATCCCAACCCACCAAGGACTCGTCTCCTTCTCCAATAGGAAACACAAAGGGTGCCACATGACCGACCAGAAACCCGAGGCTGTTTGAATTTCAAACAGCAGATTAACACGCTGAGAAAGGCAACCACAAATACCAGCACTGAGCAGGCCAGAAGGAACATAGTCAGCCTCACAGATATCCCTTCAGAGGACAGAGAAGTTAAATTACTCAAAAAGCTATTCACTGCAGACTTTTCACTGGGATCCAGTTAAAATGTAAACAACCACTGAAAATTCAGTTTGTTTTTCCACTTCCTGTGTTATGCAACGTCCTCAAGTTACACAAGGCTGTTTTTTCAGCTGGATCACAACGTGGTAGCATTTGCAGACCAGTGCTGATGTTTCATTAATGATCTCCATAACAAGAAGATCATTGTTTTCTTTCATGTAAATGCTGGCTAAGTTACAAACACATTAAAATTTACTACATTCTTTTTGATGGCCCAGTATCAGAGAGAAGGTCATGTTTCCTACCAGTAAGGACACTCCAATAATGTGGAGGCTATTTTGGGCGATTCAAAAAGCCACAGAGTTAATGAAGTCTGCCAGCAAAGGAGGAAATCTCGGTTGTTCATGTCAGAACAAGAAGAGAACTCAGTTTGTTAGGTGACATCCAAACTACTCTGTATAAAAAAACATCTTGTGCAGCTGAAACTCTTCCCAAAGAGTCCAGACTAACAGCTGACTCAGAATAGCTTCCATTTTTGCTTTACCACAGCCTCCAGAGCACGGCAGGGCCAATCCATTATTTCATTCATCATTTATCAACCACAAACTGCAAGCAGTATTTATCTTCATTTTTCTTAACTATTGATCTAAGCTGTTTTAGTTATTCCACTGTTTGGAATAACTAACTAGTTACACTAGAAAGTAAAAACAGCACCCCAAGCTGTGAAAGAGAACAAGCAGAAGACCACAGTGCACACATCAAATAAAAGTGTAATTCTTAGAGTAACATTTTCAATTGACAGTGAGGTTTCAGTGCACAAATCACTCAGCAAATACATTTTCCCAAATGAAAATCTTTTAGCATAGTAATGAACTACTATAATATTGAGGAAAAAAACCAAAATCACATTCTACGTGGAGCCACACTTAGTTTCAGGTACAAACTGAGGGACCTGACACCTTATCATCTGACACAACATCTTCTCTCATGAATGCTTGTGGGTTTCATTATGCTTCTTTCAGAAATACTGAGATGTTGGATAACTACAAATGTAGTCAGGAACCAAGTGTCCTGATATCTGTGTTCCCAGTTTCTGCATGGACACAGAATCACAAGCAGCCAGTCTCCAGTGCTCTTCTGACTGAACCTAATGATGCTGAGTGACTGCCTCTGTTCGTGCAGCTCTGAAAATGTCAGAAAAATGTGATTTAAAAAAACCCAGTATTTGAGCAGTGCAGCAAAATAGGCATATTTTACTGCAGGTAATAGTGACAACTACACTGCATCAAAGTCAAAAATACATTACAAGGCGTGTCAAAGATCCCTACAAAACTATCTTGAGCTCTGCATAATTGCTCACATTAGAAAAAACACTGATGCAAAGAAAGTGTTAACTTTCCTTTACAGAAAAACATTCCTGCTTTTTACCACTGGCAGTCACATTTTCCTAGGTCACATCTTATCCTAGTAATCCACAGCAGTGCATAGCCACAGCACTGGGAGTTTGAGCAGGGATCAAGATCTGGCAGGTGCCTCTGGAGAAAGCCTGCAAAAACACTGGGAAAAATATTGGTTCAAGTTGGGAAATCAGCAGGGAACACACCACTCATTTTGCACTTTTGTTCTTGTGCTTGGACGGAAAATAGATGAATGCATCTTTCCAGATTTCTTGGAGAAAGATCTAAACACAGAGAAAGACGGCCAGGAAAGGAAGGGTTGAGAAGTTGACATGTGCAACAGCAACAATAACCTAAAGGGAAAAGGCAAAGAGGGGGAAAAAAAGACTAAGAGGGAAACAGACTTGGGATCATACCTAATCTATTCCAAGAACTCTACTAAAATACAAGAAAAGGTTCAGTGGAATTGAGAACACAACGGTAAAATCTTCCAAGGAAACACTCCTGATGTGTGCCAGGACTTTTGCAACAGCTAAAGTTCCCTCTATTTCATATGAAAACCACCTCAACTTAGATGAAATGAGTTCCTTGTGCATCTCATCTGCTCTATTCCTAGACTGAGATATTCTCTCCTAAATTTACATACTTTACCCTGCAAAGCCCCACTTTTTGACCATTTCTGCTAGAGAAGAACAACATTAATAGCCTGTTGCCAGCACATTCTCACCAGTTATTCCAGCAACTGCACTGCAATATCAGAGCAACAAGAACGGTGTGAGGAAACACTTCAGGCTCCAAGGAGGCAAATTTGTGTTCAAAAAGCAAATATGGTCAAATGAAGCATAAAAAAAAATAAATCTGTCATTTTGGCCACAGAGGAAGTGCAGTTCTTAGCTAGGAAGATCTAAATTGCCAGAGCCACTGCAAGGGATTCTAGTGTAAGGAAATACAAGATCCAGCAGGAGCTTTTCTCTTTTCCCCTCCTTGCATCTACACTTAGACATTCACTCTGTTCTGTCACTGAATCACTACGGAGGTTGGGAAATCAGCTTGGTTCACAGAGGTCCTAAATTTCTGCAGGTCTTGTTCCAGTCAATGAAAGATGCAAATGTTTGGATTATCAGCAAGTAGGGCAATGAACTGCCTTGTGCTCCAGTTCCCAGGTCCATAAAGTGGGAGCAATTCTTCCTTCTTTTGAAAATGCCAGCAGAATTTTACAAGACAACTGCAGAAAATCCTCTTTCCTACAGTCCACGGAGGTCTGCCCTCATGCCAGTTCCTTTATCCAGTGTTACTGCCTGATGAGCTGTCCTTCTCCATAATGGAACATCCAGAGCAATGAGTTGGAAGCCCTCAACACTCCTGCTACTCCCCCATCTTCCCACACAGCTATTTATGTCACCCCTGCCTGGTACCTCCTCCTTTTCTCATCTGGGGATGACACCAGTTCTGCTGCAGCAGCAAAGAGGTGAGAAAGCAAGGAAAGGAAATTGTCAGAGAACATATTCAGGAGTAACAGGGATGTGAATACTATCTTAGCCAGCCTGACAATAACAACAGGCCTAAAGCAAAACTGGGTAGGAGGTGGCCCTAATCCACAAATATGACAGTCCAAGCAGGTTCCATTCAGCAGCTCTTTTGCTGTAACAATATTATTGCACTAAAGTGAAATATTTTGGCCTCACTCCAGTAATAACCAAGGCAGGCTATTGTTGTTCTAGAAGAAAAGTTTGCTCAATGTGATGGAAGCAGCCACTGCCTACTGGAGAGAAAACTCAACAGAAATCTCTCTTTGTTCTGGGATTCTGGGCTGAGCCTTGATTTCCCTCCCTGCTGTCAAGAAAAGGAATACTCAGCAAGCAGGACCTTAGCACAGACAGTTGGAATATACGTTGCCTTGGTCTGGCACAATGCCTGTTAAAACAGACAGACATTTTCTTACAGCCATAAGACCTTCTGGCTT